ATCTTTTTTTTTTAGAATGAATGTATTTATTATTTTCTACTGTATGTTATAGCAAACATATGGCCTTAAAACGACCTTGAACTCCAAAATTTAAAATCATATGTGAAATTTCCTTCATTTTTCGCTATTTCTTTCACAAAAAAATGTTGTTTCCACTTTATTAAACCTTCAAAACCATTTAAATAGCGTATAAAAATTGCCTCGCACTATCACAGCTCAAGTGACCTTGAACTCCAAAATTCAAACTCAAATGTGAAGGTTCCTTCATTTTTCGCCATTTATTTCACAAAAAATCTTCTTTCCACCTTATTCACCATTCGAAACCATTTAAATTATTCAGAAAAATTACCTCGCACTATCGCAGCTGAAGAAGACAATTAATTTGCCTGTTTTTAGTTATCCACCCTGTATATCCAAGAGACTCAATTAATTACTAATCACAACAAGAGATCGATGCTCCTTTCCCCGTCACATTTGCCTTTCATATTTGAAAACTTAAAAGCTGCCCACGCAACGAGACACTCCGTTCGTTAATACTAATTAAAATGCTCTTTATTTATTTCCCCAAGAATTCTACGATCTCCGTCGTTGCCTGCGAAACCCTTCCTTTTTAAAAAGTCCCTACATTAGCCAGAGAATCTTCATCCCTCCACCTCCCTTAAATTATTTCGTTCAATTAACACAAACTCTCTCAAACCCTTTTTCATCTAAAAGAAGAAAATTGTCTCGCTGCTCGAACCAAGGAAGAAAAAAAAAAGAAAACCCACTTAATCCAGCTTTTCGATGGACACACACATATTCTAGAACGAACGTTAATTTTACTATACATTTATAACTTAAACGAAAATGTATCAATTATATATTTAGAAATATTAAATTCAAGAGATCTACTATTTTATGTCAAACTTTATCTAATTTTATCATTTATAGTTAAAATTCCAATATGTAGGAACCGACGACGGAAAAATATTGACGGGTTAACACTCCCTCTCTATTCTCCCTTCGAGGTTTCCTATTTGGGCATGGAGGCCCCGATACTACACTCCGCCATTCTGAACTGACATTCGCTCTCGAATGACCTAAGTTCAACAACTCAATACTTTCGGGCACACTCCTCCAACACAGTGGCACACAGCCGAAAGAACGCATTTTTGGGAGACGTGCACCCTTTCACATGTTTTCATCTCACAGCGCCTGGCTTCATGCAACCGTAGATGCCTCCATCCAGCACGAGCCCTCATATGTAGGAACCTAGGGAAAAATATTGAGGGATCCAACGGGAATCGAACCCGGGACCTTCGGCTTACCAGCCGAGGCTCTGCGCGCTACGCCAACCACTCCCTCTCTATTCTCCCTTCGAGGTTTCCTATTTGGGCATGGAGGCCCCGATACTACACTCCGCCATTCTGAACTGACATTCGCCCTCGAATGTCCTCAGAGCAACACAACTCAACACTTTCGGGCACACTACCCCAACACAGTGGCACACAGCCGAAAGAACGCATTTTTGGGAGACGCGCAACCCTCGAGATGTTTTCATCTCACAGCGCCTGGCTTCATGCAACCGTAGATACCTCCATCCCGCACGAGCCCTCATATGTAGGAACCGACGACGGAAAAAAGTATTGACGGACCCAACGGGAATCGAATCCGGGACCTTCGGCTTACCAACCGAGGCTTTGCGTGCTACGCCAACCACTCCCTCTATATTCTCCCTTGTCGGTTTCCTATTTTTGGGTTTGGAGGCCCCGATACTACAAATATATACCCTTCATATTTGATTATTAAAAGCTCATGTTGAAACCTCTTATATTGGATTGAGATGGGTGAGGAACGCCGTTGCACTGTTTTCACCTCAGTTTATTAAGATAAAGTGCGATGATCGGCGTACAATTCGCCCGGAAAATACAATCGTTTTATTCGTTAATTGTCCCTGCGGCAGGGGTTCGGCGGGTACGTCGCGATGGTTGGTAAAGGAAAAACTGACCGGAGGTTTTTTTCTTTTTGTGTTTGTGTGGTGAGTCCTCCAAATCCGCGCTTGGAAACTGTTGTCTCCTTATCGGATGGGCTGAGTTGTGATATTATAGTTAACGTCAGTGATGTATGTAGTGGCAGTAGCCAACATGAATTGTGCTAGGAAGAATATGGAAAAACAGACCGGAGGTGTAGGCGTACTGGGTTTTTATATTGTTAGGACAGGGAGACAGGAGTAGAGATAGACAAAGGTAGAAGTGGAGAATTTGTAGAAAGCGGGGCCGTTCGTCCTCGTGCGAACCTAAATGCCACATGTGCGCTTCTTGGGCTACTCGAGGACGAAGGCAAGTCTTGCCCCGGGGAGAGACAAAGGAACGGAAACTAAAATCTGAAGGAGTTGGAAAAGAGAAACTTAGCGTGGAAGAATAGAACAAAGTTCGGTAAGGGCTTGTTGGCAGTGACGTACCCGCCACAGGATCAATAGTCTTAGCGCCTATAATATTAAAATTAGCAAGATATAGACTATTACGAATAATTAAAGTTAAAAAAAAAAAACTTTAACATTTACCTCATTTACCTATTAATTAGTTTAATATACCTTCGACAAATTGATATAAAAATTATTGCAGCAATATCTTCCAATAACTCCACGGTATTAGGTAGAAACCATAGTCTCTCCCGTCTCGTTTTCTTCCGCGTCTAGCCAACTTTCTTTGACCTTGAAAAGATTAATAATCCCCGGTTTTTAATTAAAGCCCACGAATTTTAATCATAACGTTCATTAGAACCGGTAATAATGTTCGTGTTGAGCCGGCTGACGGAAGTCTCGTTGCGAAAAGAAATCGAGCGAGCATTAACCATCTGATTGATTGCGCTCGCCACGCTCGCTTCCGTGATACTTTGCATGATGCATTTCCTTCGGAAAATTATAGCTTTGGCGCGCATTGAAAAATTCCCCCTTGCCGGAGAATTGAAGAGGACAAGACGAAGGAGAGAAGAAACGTGAATTTTTATCGACCGAGAGAAGAGATTCTCTCTCTAGCCTTTTAATTCGTGTGATCGAATGATACCATTTGTTTACGTCAACTGGTTTCCTTCGTATCTTCGATACAGAGGAGAGAAAAAGGAAGGCAGCGAGAAAATAACGTGTAATTATTCAACCTTCTTTTCGAACAAAAAAATCCGCACATTTGATGAATTTCAATCTGTTCGCTGGTGTTTTTGTACGAATACACTATTTATCGATCTTCCTCGCTGTCGATTCGTTCGAAAATTTAATTAACAGCCTGCAGTCACGAGTGGAAATTTTTTTCGTAGGGTATCTACACTGTAGAATACTTTCTCAGATGGAGCAGCGTTTCGTGAATAACGTCTATAAGCGTGGAAATTAATAGAAACTTCGGAACGTTATTAAACTACCACGCGAGCGCCTTTTTCTTCATGACAAATCACAGGAAAATTTCATCGCTGGCGTGCAACAGCGGAGTCGTAAAGGATATTAAATCTGCATTAGAAAAAATTAAATATACCTTTGAATTATTTATTAAATCGTTGTTTTTATAATGCAATTTTTACGTAGATAGTTTGTTATTAATAGTTGGGATTGTTTAATTGTCGTGCAATAAATATTTTCAACCCTTGAACAGTCCAATAACATTAAAAATTCCGGTCAAAGGAACGTATATGTTTTTTACGTTGTAAAGTACTTCGGTTTGTCGCAAAAAGTAGAAAAAAGCACGTTTTGCCTTTTTAAAAAATTAAGCCGTGTGTGATGGATTTTTAAACACGAGATACACAAAGCTAGATCGCACTCCTGACAAAAATGTCTCGTCCCTTTCCTGACTTTTTCTCCATTTATCGAGGAACGCACACTACACACAATCTATATGATTTATCTTTATTAGCAACAAGAAACTTCGATATCTGAAATTCGCTAGGCTCAACCACGAAGACGAGGGCCCTCTCAATTAACCCTTTGAACAGCAAATTTCTTTTTAAATTTTCTTTTCGATAATTCCCTATTATTTGAAGAATTTCATTTGAAATGCAGTTCCAAAGACATTTGCACGATAGGAACCAATTTAAACAATTTTTTTACTAATTACATTACAAGTAGCATTAAGGGTCATATATACACTACCGGCCAAAAGTTTGGAATCACCTCCCAATTTTCATCAGTACTGAATCTGCTACTAATTTTTCATAGACTTGACATTGATACCGCGGAGATAAATAGCAATTTGTCTCATATCGATTGATTTGAATGATAAAAAATTCGTTAAAAAATTCTTAAAGCTGCTGACATTTTTCTGCGAATTTTTGTGTAACTTGCAATGCACAGTGATTCCAAACTTTTGCCCGGTAGTGTACGTGTACCTATTGCTCATCCAGGTAAAAGAAATCTTGCAAAATATAATACATATTTAAAAACTACTTCCTTCGTACCTGTGAATAAAACTGACGTCGAGTCACACTCGAAGGAGTCCAAAGGGTTAATTAAACGACACAAACGTAACACGAAGAGAGAAAGATGGCAGATACAGAGGTTTGTTTGAAAAAGTAAACAAAAAAGAATGCTCGCTTAAAAGAGGATAGTGAAAGAAAAATGTACTCACATTGGACGACATAGGCACCCAATTCTGCGGCGAGGTCGAACGAGACCGGAAGTCTTCCTTGCAAAATGTCCTGCTTCACCTGCAGGAAAAATTGGTACCTGTCGGGCAAAGAAGAGAAACATCATTTTTATAAGACGCGTAAAAAGA